CTGCCACCACCACGGCCACCAGCACGGCCGCCCCCGCCCCAAGCACGGCCCCTAGCGCAGGATCCACAGCCGGTGACTCTGGGGCAGAGGACGGGCCGGCCCCCCGTGTCTCCCAGCTGCCCACGCTGCCCCCACCCCTGCCCTGGAACCTGCCCGCTGGTGTGGACTGCACTACCAGCGGCGTCCTGGCCTGTGAGTGTTCCCCTTGCCGGGGCCAGGGCGGTCTGGGGTGGGCGGAGAGGACCAGGAAGGATGACACCGTGTGGGGACAGACTTGGAGGCAGTGGGATGCCTTGGGAAGGGTGGGTACGTAGTGACCTGGACTGGGGGCCGCAGGGGGGCGAGGGCCCATCAGGTCTGTCCAGGATGTTCTAGATGTTCGGTTGATGGAAGAGAGCCGAGCGGACGGGCAAGGCGGCCAGCTCAGCACGGCTGGAGTGGGGCGTGTCCTGGCCTCCTCCTACACGAGACTGGTATAGACTTGACGGGGGGCCAGGAAGATGGGGTGAGCAGCGTTCCTTGGGGATAGCAGGAGTCTCTGCCAGGTCACAGACGTGGTGAGAGAGGCTGGGATTGGCCGTGGGGCTGAGCAGCCGGAATCTCACTCTGCCACCACCTTGTCAGTGATTGGCCCCGGCCCACCCACCAACACGCACATGCACCTCGAGCGGCAAGAACATCGGGGTGTGGAGGGGGTGTTTTTCAGTGGCCGAGGCCCCCTTTTCTTAGTTCTGAACCTGAGGCCTTAGGCCTGTCCAGGGGGCCCAGGGGATGGCAGCAGGTGGGGAGGTGAGATTCAGTCTCATCTCCTGTCCACCCCGGGCCGCCCTGTCATCAACTCTCCGCCTCCTGCAGTGACTGCACTTCTCTTCAAGATGGAAGAAGCCAACCTGGCGAGCAGAGCAAAGGCCCAGGAGCTGATCCAGGCCACCAACCAGGTGGGCTCCCCAGAGGAAGAGTCCCCACAGCCCCTGCCCTGTCCCCTGCCTTGGGTTAGGAGAGGAACTACAACTCCCAGCAGGCCTTGAGGCAAGATACTGGCCAGAAGCGGAGCTTGTGACCCTTGGGACTGTTGGGAAATCAGGGTGGAAATCACAGGGGTACAT